TATTGTGCTTTGTATCTTTTCTTCATACCGTCTAATTTTCATATAATCTTCAAATGTAATGATTATTATTTACTTTCTTACACCTGCATCAATATTTGTTATAACCAAATCAGCATCCATTGGATGCTAATATGTGTCAGACTCTATGCTAGTAGTATATAGTAAATGAGTAAAGCCATATGATATTATAAATTCTTAAATTGTTAGTTTATTTCTAGAGACTAGAGCTATCATGTAGGTGTCCCCACCCTGGTTCCTATTCACTCTGTATGTAACCATGTTGAATAAATCAGCCTACTACCTGAGAAAATCAAGTTTCAGCCTGATGAAAGACAGTGGTTTGTTCAATACCTGTAGGAACGGAATGGCCATGAAGCAAGAATTTGCTGTTAAATCTTATAGTTCCTAGAGAGGAGAGAACATACTGCTTATTTTTGAACGCTTTGCATGACTGGCTCTCTTAGTTTCCTATTGCTGCTGTTAGAAATCACCACAAATATATAGTGTCTTAAGAAAAAAGCAACACAAATTATTAGCTCAACAATATTGTAGGTCATAAGTCTAAAATGGATCAGCAGGCCTTAATTTCTTCTGAAAGCTCTAAGGCGTCATCTGTCTCCTTCCCTTTTTCAGTTCTAGAAGGTGTCTCGCCTTCATTCCTTGGCTAATGGTCCCTCATCCCTCCATCTGCTTCTGTCATCACACCTCATCACACCTCTTTCTCTGACTCCATTCTTTTGCCTTTCTCTTATAAGGATGGTTGTAAGGATCCTTTCTCTACATAAGGGAGACACAGCTAGTCTAGGCTGCTCTCAATATTTCAAGGCCTTAACCTTGTGAAATTTACAAAACTCCTTCAGTTGCACATGGTAACCTAGTCACACATCCTGGGAATTAGAATGTGGCTATTTTGGGGAAATTTTATTCTTTTTACCATACCAAATAATCACTGAAATCTAGATGCAAGGGGGGATTATAACGAAGCTGTATCTGATCATCTCTTGAATGTTTTCAAAACTGTTATTTTTATAAGTTGCTTCAAAAATTGTGCAACTTTGGAGGGCCTCGGTGGCTCAGTTGGTTAAGCATTCAACTTCAGCTAAGGTCACAAAATGATCTCACAGTTTGTGTGTTCTAGCCCCACATTGGACTCTGTGCTGGCAGCTCAGAGCCTGGAGCCTGCTTCAGATTCTGTGTCTCCCTCTCTTTCTCTGCCCCTCCCCCACTTGTATTCTGTATCTATCTCAAGAATAAACAAACATTAAAAATTGTTTTTAAAATAGTGCAAGTTTATTTGTGTCAGTTGATAATGCATTAATCCATATAACCACTATGCCAATGAACATATTTTGTTCATTGCACACATGAATAGATTTTGGCACTATAGATGATTTAGAAAATAATCATTTTTGTTAATGTCAAAATCTTAATTCTAAGAAGTCCGATTAGCAAAATGTAATATAAAATGATAGTTTTATGATTCAGCTCATAGTATTAGAAACTTTTCTCTCTTCTATGAATATATTTTACTTGCAAAAATTAACAGTTGAAGAATTTACCAACATATGTCATATTTCCAACAAGTTAAGAAATATAACATGGATAAAAACAGCTTAATTGTTTCTTTTAGTAATCAATAATAGTGTTTTAATTTCTTCATACTTTATTTCCTTTATTTTTAAATAAACTAAATGTTTTAATTTATAGCATGGTGAAAGGATAAATTATTATGGTGCTTAATAATGTATTTATAAAAATACAAAGTCTCATGAAACAGGAAAAGTTCATCATTTTAAACATGGTTTACTAAGGCCAAATATTTGTCAAATATTCTGAAAAATGCTGTCACTTAGTAATATTTCTAAATGTTGGATAAAAATTAAATGCAGTAAGCCCTTGTAGCAATATTGAAGATGGAATTTTAGGTTTACTACTTAATTTCATCCATTAAATAAATACTTATGGATTTCCTTCTCTGTGTAAGGTCTTGTACTAAGTGGTACAGATTCAAAGCAAAAAGGGTGAGCATAAATATGAAAAAACACAATCATGGTTTCTCCTTCATGAAAGTGAGAGTAGGCAGCTTTTTTTCTGAAATAGGTTAGGCTCTGAATTCTATTACATGTCTGTGAAGACATTATTAATCACACAAAAATACATATGGCAATACCAATGCTACTTAACAGATGCCTCCAGAATGCTTCTATTACCCCAGTATTTTATATGTGATAGAAACATACAATGGGAATCCACCCAGACTTTGGAGCCATAAAGTCTGATTTCTCATTCTGAATCTTGTGCTTAGTTTGTGACTTTGGGCAAGTTAATGAAGCTCTTTGAGACTATCACTGTGTATATGAAATGCTTATAACCAAACTGCACAGCATATATATATATTGAGATAATCTATTTGAAGAGGTAAGTCTGTAGTGAGTTCTATAAAATATTCTATGAATCTACTTATCTTTCCCTTTAACAATTAAACATTTTTATTCAACAACAGGTAGGTTTTAAATAAGGGTAGACTTTCTTTGAATCCTTAAAATGTAAATAACCACTATATATTTTTTCTCATATGTATTCCATCTTTTGCAATATTTCAGGTTAGTGTAAATAAGAGCACTTTATATGTATGTAAAAGTATGTTCACATTTGCTTTCATTCTTATTTAATACAAGAACAAAAATCCCTTTGAAGTAATGATAACTTCAATGGATTTTGTTGTTGATTTTCTTTTAGTTTTGTCACTTCCAAAAAAAGTAACTTGGATGTTACTCAAATATTGATGTTTATGAAGAAGTGAAGAAGAATGTCTTCAGTTACTCCAGAAAACTGAACATTCCTAAACAAGTGAAGTTTTATAGTTTTTCTGGTATTAGGAAAGCTCTTTGTTAATGAAAGATGGATTTTTTTTTTTACAAAATAATGTTTCTATCACAATGTACTGTATAAATCTCTGCATTTATTTCATATCGTATATGTGTTGTTTCAGATGTAAGTTTAATTAACCATCTTATTTTGAGATGATGGCTTTCCTCTTGATACACTTCTATTTTTTATATTGGTAGGGAAATTGAAAAGTAGAACTGCAGGTGACATGATGGAATGTGATATTGCAGGTGTTGGAATTATCTACACTTTAAGGTTGTATGGGGGGTGGCGGGTAATAGTCTGGGGACAACCCTCCGAAGAGCAAAAACAGTAAGAATATTTCCTGAGAAAGTAAAATTACACAAAGAAATGTTCCCCAATCATTGAAGGCAGGGCTGGGGGTTGATGGAAGAGGATGGAGAGTATAAAACATGATGGGGGAACAGAAATTTTCTACAATGAAGAGTATTCGTTGTCAACAAAATAAACTCCAAAAAGGATACAATTGATTCATCTTTGTACTACCTTCTCTTTCATCTATTCCTTGTCCCAATCTCAAACAATAGTTGCTTTAATAGCTAGTGTTACAATTTAATTGATTTACAATGAATACTAGCTAAGAAGTTAGGGAAACTAAATTTAAAGTTCCTTGGATTACCAGTTAGTGCATGATTACACTAATCAACCTTTCTGGTTCTCAATTTCTTCATCATAATGGAGTTAGGTTCAATGGCCATTAAAGTCCCTTGAAGTTCCACCTCACAGTGGTTTCCTCTTATCTCTGGTTTCACTCTCCCTGTTTCAGTTCCCTACCTGCTTCATTTTCCGGAAACAGAGGATCCTCTTTCTAACAAGAAGTCAGAAGGTCAATAGTAGCCTAAGGCTATGTCACAGTGCTTATGTCATTCATCTCTCTTCATCTCACCACCTAGGCATTTTATCATCTCCCATTATCACAAGAAGACAAAAGGTGAGTATAGAACAATACTCAATGCAATAAAAAACCATGAGAGACATACATTCATACAACTTTTATTACACTCTATTTTTTACAATTGTTTTATTTTATTATTGTTCAATTCTTCCTGTGCCCAATATATAAATTAAACTTTATCATAGGTGTGTATGTGTATGTAAGAAAAAAAAACACAGTATACTTAGAGAAAAACACAGTATACTTAGGATTCTCTACTATCCATGGTTTCAGGCATCTGCTGGGAGTCTTACAATGTATCCCCTCTGGATAAGTGGGAGACACTGCTATACTGTTTTTTGAGATTCAAATATATTGGCTCAGTTTATTTAGCAGAATATTTATTTTATGGAGTAAGACAAGTAGATGCCTGCACACTTAGGTTTTTAAGAAACGTTAGGCACTTTCAAAGAGAAAGATCTAAACCCCAAATAAACATGTAGCAGAGACTAAGCTGAGTAAACTTCAATATTCTACTGAGGGAAATTATATATGCATACGTGTATGTGTGTGTGATATGACTCTTTTGTATGCAAGGAACAGTTTGAGTTTACTTATCTTACTACACTTTTCTAATAAATTTTATTTAAGGTTAAAACAATCTAAAGCATATTGACATTTTTTTTCCACAAACAAATGGATTCACAGTTTCCCCAATACAATATACCTTTTACATTGCTTTTAGGTTAGACATTTTCACAGATTAATAGGTAAGAAATATATTAGGTAGTACCTACACACTTAAAAGAAGGAGCCAGGATAGCAAACCAAAACATTACCAGTATTATAAAATGTGTTTAGATACCCACTGCAGAAGTAGATTGAGATGATCCAGGAAAAGACATGCTGAGTATAAAATTAAAATGTATAACTTTTGAGACAAATCTAAGTACAAACCAGGTAAAAGCTAGCTAAGAGATGTAAAAGCCTATGGCTCTATATTGATGTTCATCAAATTTAATCATATGATTTAGTGTAGTGTTTACAAACTTAGATAGTTTAATAAACTTTAAGTGCTATTAACTATGTTAAAGTTAAACCATGGATCACAAAGTTAATATTTTTTATTCTGTACTTTTTATTTTCCAAATATTTAAAAGAAGAGCTACCTTACATTTATTTTACATATAAAATAAAATTTTTAATGTTATGTTTTCTAACTTAAGCTGGGCCCTCAGAAAACAATTGCATCTCTTTGAATAACAATTTAGTTAAGTAAGTTTAAGCAGCATATTAAGAACTTATGCGAGAAGTATGTTGTCTACATATCACACCTGTTGAGGTTACATTTGTAACAAATGTAATTCAGGACATCCATCTTCTTTCTGTGGACCTCAGATCCCCCTCCAACATTTGTCAGCCTGTGTAAAACAGAGACAGCACAGAAATGAGCATTTGGGTAAAATTAGATCACGGAAGAAAAACTTCTGCTCTAGGTCCTTACTGTGGCTGGAACACAGCCTAAGAGAGAAAGAAAAACAAAGTTATACACACATGAAAATTTTTCCCTGGACAGTTTTGGTAGTAAGCACAACTATAGATACTTGTGCACATGCACAGCTTGCCTTGCTGTTGTAATATGACACATAACTATCTCTCTTCTGGGATTTCCCAGTAAGAATTTCTAGAAAATTGATGCTTTGAAATGAAGTCTATTCTTGTCAATGGAATTTTAATGTCAGGTACTTTAGATGAAATTAAAGCCATCCTATTCTTATCAGGAATAGCTTATTCTGTATCATTAAAATTTGGGAGTAAGAGGTGTAGAGTGTAAGGTATGACAACCATAGAGAAAAAATAATATACATATTACACCAGTGAAATATATTCTGTAACTCAAAATTGAAATCATTTCTCTTAGAGCAAGTCTCCTTTAGTTTTTCACATCCACACTAGTCAGCTTATACTTGATAAACCAAGTTCACACAATTTGCAAGATGGATTATTCTGCACGCTTAGTGACATATGATGTAAGCACAATCAAGAGGTGTTTGACTTCCTCCCTCTTTTACACTCTTCACATAATGAGCAGATGCAGGCTGGGGGTGCTATAGACTCATGGAAACCAGAGGGCTTTCTGATTTTATAGGTGTCACTACAACATGCAAAGAGCTATCTTGGATGCTAATAATTTGTATCTGGTACAAGAATTGGAATAAAGATGTGCATGTTAGTAAGGGGTACTAGAGCTTTAACCTACCTTCAGCCTAAAGCTTACTTATTAAGCTTCAGCTGCATACACATTCTTATTTCTGGAATGGAAAGAATATCATATTTTAGAACATGGGCAAAGTATATAAAAACCATGGACAAAGGGCTACTACCAGTGCCTTTTTTTCTTTATTTTGAGAAAGAGTTAGTAAGAAAAAAAGGAGATATTTAAATACTCTTCCTACAAGCAAGCAGGAATCAGATTTCCCTGTGTGTAGGTTTTGAATATAAGAACTGAAGAGCCTTAAAGCCTTCATATTGCCTCCTTAAAAGCCCTTAAGTTCAAATTCACTCTTACATGCTGCTATTCTCCTAGGAAGAGAGAAAAGAAAATTTGCACTGACCCAGCTCGTGATTTACATACAGAGAGCAAATAAATGAATGGAGTGGGGGATGGGACAGTGAGAAGCAATGTGTTTCCTTTTCAACCGCAGAAAATAAGATTACTTACCAAGAACATTTTTATCCAGGGCAAATGTTTATTCCCTCTATCATTCGGCGCCTCAGTCTCTGCAAGAAATCAATTTCCACTCTACCTTTCCCTCCTATTTCTAAAAAAAAGAGAGAGAGGCGGATACTGCTTAAGCTTCAGGGTCCAGAGGAAGATAGAGCAGAGGGCAAAAGACTCCCACAGCGTTCTTCATCCAGATCCAAGCTCTGGGAGTGAACCCATGGGGAGGGAGGGATCTTCTCTAAGGAGGGTACCGAGGGTGGCGAGGGGGGATCACTTCACAGCCAAAATATAAATCATCTACAAAGAGAATTACCAGCCCCTAGTCACACAAGCAATTGCCTGGGGAAGTAGGTTTCAAAGAGGAAAGGGAAGTTCCTCATTGAGAGAGAGAGACAGAGAGAGAGACAGAGAGAGAGAGAGAGAGAGAGAGACAGAGAGAGAGACAGAGAGGGATTTGGGTTTCGGGTTTGAGCTTGGAGAAGGGATGGGACCATGGAGAGGAACAAGGGAATAAAGCTAATCTTACCCGATCGATCAGGCGATCGTATGTGCTGTATCGGGATACGAAAATGGCAAGATAATGCATTCAGCAGCAAAGCCATTTCTAGCCCACGCTCTCTCGGTAACTGTGCAGGAATCAGAGGGGACGCGAGAACCTCATAGACTGTCACCCGCTCCCCCAGGAACGGTGGTCAGAACCCCCAAAGTCCCAGCTTCGGAAACAAGGCATCTGGAGCTGAGGTGTCGGGTGCAATGAATTGCCTTGAGTCGCGGGCTGCAGAATTCTCCGGGAACACGGGACCTGGGAGGGCTCCCGCCGCCGCCGCCGCCACCCACCGGCCAGGCCCCCCGCGCCTGAGCCTCGGGCGCAGCGCCCCCGAATGCGCCCGGCCGCTCGGCCTCCTCCTCGCACCTTCAGCCCTTCGACCCCCCCCCCCCCCGACCCCAATGCAAATCGCTGACGATTCGGTCGTCCTAAAGTGACCACCGTGGTTTACTTGGGGGGCTGGTGTGTCGGGCTTCCTTACTACGCCTCCCTCAGTTGCTACGAGTGAGAGAGTTCAAGGGAAATCCTAGTGAAATACACTGATGGAAAACTATTAATCCTAATAATAACGTTCCCAACGCAGGTAACTCTTAAAGAACTGAGAGTGGGAAGATCAGAGCAGGATTTCCGAAGCAGTGCCCTCTTGAATTCTCATTGGATCCTTCCCAGCAGCCTAAATCATTCTCGCTGCTGTATCTATCAGGATGACTACAGCCTTGCTCACTAGTTCTCTCTCCATCTCTTGCCTTCAGCACATCCTTTCACTTCTCTTTGCAGATTTATCTGTATTTCACCTCCTGTTCTCTGGGGTTACACCACTTCTATTTCCCCCCACTGTATGGGCATGTTACAGTCAGTAAATTTTCACTTTGTCTGCCTAAGGATCGTCACAAATAAGCCCCCCACCCCCCAAAATAAAAGGCACCTCTTTCGCATTTTGCTTCTTTTCCTTGGGGGTTCGTGGCTTTCTGTGTAACTGGTTTTTAGTTGGTTACTTGCCACCAGGAACTGCTGATTTTTTCAAAGTTCCACCACTCTGCAGCTCATCCCTACCTTAATTTGGAAGATCATGGAATATCTGTTTGAATCCTGGATATGTTTCTCACAGTCATCTTGCTTCCTGAAATGTCCTCTGGTAAGTTCTTCTCCTTATGTTTTATTAGAAACTTATTGCTAGTGTTATTTTTAAGGAGCTGTGTTTAGACAATATCTCATTAAAATGTTTTTGTTACTTTCGGAACTCAAACATCTATATGAGTGTTAATTAGTAGATTAGTTGCAATTGTGCTCTTAAGATACAACCCATGTAATGAATTATCCCTTCACCTTTTACATTATTTATTTCTGTCCTCATTTGTATTACAGGTTATAGGAGAGATTAACCACTCTTCTCCCCTCCCATTAAGGCTTCTTGGCACACATTCTTGTACCATTTGAAAGGTCAAATTTTATATGTTTATCTAAGAGTAAGCTTAAAAGAAACCTTCTGAAAATTTCAGGGTCTGAGAAAGTTCACAAGTCTCTGATCTTCAGAAGGTTGTTCAGGTCAGCATTTGTTCACTGCAAGCAATTACATGACTGAAGGAGGACTTTTGTAAAGTGTATTTTTATGGGTTTAACTGGGCACTAAGTGCTAATAGCCACTCTAGGGTAAGAAGAAGAGTGGGAGTTTTAAAGTGCACCATTTTTTTTTTCTTACAGTATCCCAAATCACACATGAACATATTATTTTGGGCATTGTATTTCAATTCAGGCATCCTATTTAGTATATTTCTGATTTCATGAATTTAGCTGGTGAACAGTTAATTGGACACACAGTACTCATTTCAGAGGAAGAAAGCCATCGGAAGGAAGCACTGATTATCTTGGTTCTAATAAATTGAAATTCAGGGACAGACTTTATATGAAAAATTTAATTACCTCACTCTTCACACTTGTTCAACCCCCAGACTCAATTTTAAATAAGTATGTTAATATGTCAGTGTTTTGGGCTTTTATGAACATTTTTTATGGGCTTAACTGACAGTTATGATTATCACTTCCCCTTTAAGTATAGGTATGTTGAGGAACATTTAAATCTTAGCCTTTATTTCACATATTGACAAGGACACTGTGTTAATTAAATGTCAAGCCTGCGTGTGTTAGTTATCTGTAATGCATAGTAAGGTTTTAGGGTTTTCTCTGTCACCCCCACCCCCGCCGCCCAGCCCCCATAAGAACAAGTTCCTGGTTTCTGCAATATTTCTCTTTACTGGGATGGATGGAGGTGAGAACCTATTGTTTAAGCTTTTCTTACTTCTCTTATGTTTTTTCATTTTTCATTTTCCTTTTATCCCTATTTTTCTTCTCTCTCTGTCTCTCTCTCTCTCTGTCTCTCTCACTCTCTCTCTTTTAATTTCACGGAAAGAACTATTCGTGCCCTCATTGATGGCTAACGAGAGACCTAAGTAATGCTTTTTTAAATTCAAAAGCCCTTTTAGCTTCCAGACATAAAAGTACTCCAGCTGCAGCGTCACCCCATCCCCCAGTCTCAGGATTCAAGGGCTTTCCCCCCTTGGCTCCCCCAGCAGCCAGAGCAGGGCTGAGACTGTGGTCCGCGCCACTTAGCGCCCCTCACCCGGCCCTAGTTTCTACCTGGTCTCCTTCCCAGTCTGGTCGTCCTGTCTGACAAGTGCCATCAGCCGCCCTGACTTGAGTGGAAACCAGGGCTTCGCATAATTCACCCATTCAAATATCCTCCTTGGAGGGCTGCTGCTATTGCGCCAGGGTGCAGGAGGGGGTTAGGAGGGGGGGAAAACCCCCAAAAACAAAACCAAAAAATGCAACTTTCAGTGCAGTCAGACCTCTTCTTCTTAGCCTAGTCTCCTCCAGTGAAGCGCAGACGTACGGTGTTTAGGTAAGTGCGTTTTGCTCCGTTATAGCCTGCAACTCAGGCTTGGGCCAGGGGACGTTTACGTTCGAAAAGCTCTGCCGCCGCCAAGGACGCCTTAAGCAGAGGGCTAGCAACAGGCGACGGCGCCCGGAGGTGCCTCCGCAGCTGCGGCACCGCCTCGGCCCCGGGGGCGCAGCGAGCGCGCCCCGCACGGTGCCCGCTGGCCTGGCGGCGCGGGCGGGGGCCGAGGCGCGCGCTGTGCCCGCCGCCCCGGCCGGGCGCTCAGCCCCGCGGCGCGCGGCGCTCAGCCTGGGCAGCTGCAGCCCCGGAGCGTGGGGCGCGGGGGGTGGGGGGGGGGCGTCCGCGGGGCCTGCCTCCGGCCAAACTTGAGCAGAACCTTTTCCGCGTGAGAGGACGGACTTGGGAGCTCCACACTCTCTTATCAACGCCCTCCTGCATTTGCATCTATTATTTATTTATTTATTTATTTATTTATTTATTTATTTAATTTGTCATTGTTAATGGGCTACATCTAAGACTGATACATGACGGCTCTTCTGCACGCCTGCTTCGCAAGACCGTACTCGCCCCTGGCTTCGTTGGACTTAACGCTTGCTCACGGACTTCACAGGCTCCGTGTTAAAGTATCACTGACCGTCATTCCCTCTCTGCTTTCACCAACTCGCAAGAATCTGGGGGGGGGGGGGGATGCTGGGGTCGGGGAGAGAGAGTTGAATTTGAACTTAGAGCTGCAGCTTGTAATAGAAGGTTGAAGTTAAAGCAAAGAGTGGGTTTGGCAGCCGTATGGCTGGTATTAGACCCACTTTCAAGTTGGGTTTTTATTTTTTGTTTCCCCCTTTCTGGAGGAGGGGCGGGAGGAAGATCTGGGGCTGGGAGCGCTCCCCTCCGGTGTCCACCCTGGAGGGGGTGGTGCTTCTCGGCCGCTGGTTGCTGCTGGTTCTGCAGCCAGGCAGTGGCAGAGAATTTAAGCCTCTGATGGCTGTTCTCCGAGTCCCCAGGAGTTGAACGGGAGAGCGTTTTACTCTGCACCAGGTCGAGAACGTGATCAGCCCTTTAGAGCAGGGACCTCCTTCTAATGGGGATCGGTCTGGAAAACGCTGGGGAGGCTCTGCCTCCGAAGATAAGATGCCTGTTTAGAGCTGTGTGAGATGCCAACCGGAGGTTTTTTGAAAAAAGGAAGAGGTGACCGGGGTTGCAAAATAACCCTATTATTGCTTACAAATATTCTAGCCGGTCAAATGCATGTAAGCAAAGAAGAAAGCATCAGGGTATAAAACTGTCACAGAAGCCTTGAAGACAGAGGATTCAGAATTTTGAGACTTTTTTTTTTTTTTTTTTGCATGCTGTTTAGATTTGTTTGTCATCATGCAGTTAAGCAGGTAAGGACTGAATGTCTATATTTTATTGACAATCATATAACCTGCATTTGACCAATCCTGTGATAATTTTTCTCTGTTTCAAGCGATGGAGTATACGTATTTTCAGATGGTTCTGCTATGATGCATAACTTCTTGGTATTCATATTAGTGAACCATTTAAATCCATTTAAATGTTTAACTTACGTTCATTGAAATGTGTAACAATGTTACAAAAATAATAAACTGGGCAGAGGTCAAAGGAAGAAATGGGGAGGGTATAGTGTTGGAGGAAGGGATGCATAATCCTGATGAAGTATGTAAAATAGTAGTTGGAGAAATGCCTTCAAACAGTGCTTCTTGTTAAGGTCACAGGCCTTAATATAAGGACAATTGGAGAATTATTAAGGGCATCTTGAACTACCAATTTAATTCTGACTATTTGAGAGAAACGTTTAATGAGTTATAATCCTATTATTTTCTCATTTTCAAAAAAATATTCTTGGGATGGGGGTTGGTTGGGTTTTCAAATAGCATCAGAAAAGAGCTTGCCCTAAGGCAGTGTTTCATATGACCCCAGTATAGAAATCTTTAGGCTTGGAAAACTAGTTGGAAACTGAAAAATAAGCAAATTTAGAAAATTACAGTAAATCTCTCATAAATAAAGCTTATTTAAATTCTAAGTTTTATAGATGTACAATTTTAGCAGCCACTAGATTTCTTTTACTAGTAGATTTAACAAAAAACTTAATTAAAAGGACAACACATTTTTATAACATGTGAAGTTTTGTTATTATTGATAATGTTTTGTTATGTATGTTTACATGTTGAAGAGGTCTGGAGTACCCACAGAATGAAGCAAAAAATTAATGAAACAATTCTAAAACTATTCTGTTTATTTCTAACACTTTCTTTTCTCTAAGAAATTGTATTCTTTAAGATTTTCCCTGGAAATATTTTTAGTACTTACATTTATTGATGTGGATTTCTGATCAATAATTT